GTCAAATGTAAAATAGAAAATTTTTAGGATAAATCATAAGAGAAGATCTTCAGGACCTAGGGCTAGGCAAAATTTTCTTAGACTTGACACCAAAAGCATAATTCACAAAAGGAAAAATTGATAAACTGAGTTTCATAAAAAATTTAAAGATTTGTTTTGCAGAAGACCCTGCTTACAAGATGAAAAGTTACAGACTGGGAGGAAACATTTCGCAATCACCTATCTGAACAAAGGACTGTTATCAGAGTATATAAAGGACTCTCCAACTCCACAGGAAAAAAAAAAAAACAATCCAATTAGACGGTGGGCAAAAGACATTAGCAGACATTTCACCAGAGAAGATACACAATGGCAAATAAACACATGAAAACATCTTCAACTTCACTAGCCGTTTGGGAAGTGCGAATTAAAACAATGAACTCTCAATTATCCGTGTCAGGTGGCTGAAATAAAAAATAGTGACAAGACAAAACTCTGGTCAAGATGCAAGTGTGGATCATTCCTATTTTGCTGGTGGACACAGAAAACAGTATAGCCACTGCAGAGGTGTGAAAGTTTATTTTCTCCCCTTAGAGACAGGGTCTCCCCATGTTGCCCAGGCTGCACTAGAACTCCTGAGCTCAAGCGAACCTCTTGCGGGGACTAAAGGCATGTGCTACAGTGAAAGTTTGTCAGTTTCATATAAACATAAAACTGAACACGCAACTACTAGATGACCCAGCAATTACATTCTTACTCATTTATCCCAGAGAAATGACAATTGATGCTCATACAAAAACTGTACACGAATGTTCATTACAGCTTGATCTGTAACAGCCAAAAAACTAGAAACAACTCAGCTGTCTGGCAACAGGTGCTACAGCCTATCATGGAATACTACTCAGCCATCAAAAGGAATTCACTCTCGATACTCTCAACAACTTGGATGAGGTTTTATGCTGAGTGAAAAAAGTCAACCCCAAAACATTACACACTGTATCATTCCATTTATATAATATTCTTGAAATGATAAAATTATAGAAATGAAGAATATATTATTAGTGGTTGCCAGGGATTGGGGCCAGGATGTGGGTACGGGGGAGGTGAGTCTAGCTATAAAAGGACAACGTGGGGTTCCTTATAGCATCAAAAATGTTCTGCATGTGGGCTGTGGTGATGGACACAGATCTACACACGTGAGGAAACTGTAGGGAAACACACACACACACACACACACACAAATGAGTACAAGTAAAACTGGGAAAGTCTGATTAAGATGAGTATATTATACCATGCCAATACTCTGGTTCCGATATTTTACTACCTTACAGTTTTGCAAGATGTTACCATCAGAAAAAAATTGGGTAAAAGACGCACGATATTTCTCTGCATTAATTTCTTACAACTACATGTGAATCTACACTTAGTCCAAAATTTAAAAGCCTAAAAATTGCATATGTGGCTTGTGTTATGTTTCTATTGGACAGCGCTGCCTTCAGGTTCCCATCTTTCCCGTATCTCCCTCCCCTTCCTTCGTCCAGCATGAAACCAGAGCTCCCCAGCCCCACAGTATCTGGCTCCTTTTGTTGCGAAAGACCCCAGTGCCCATGGTGGGTAACCGACCTCTTTCCTTTCCGTTTCCGTCATTCCAAACTGGTAGTGGCCCAGGAGGAAGGGCCACACGGCCTTGCGGATCTCAGGTTGGATGCCCCCGTAGTAGATGAGGCGCAGCAGCTCCCGCTCCTCGTAACTCTGTGGTGGGTGGGGAGGAGCAAAGAGTTTGGTCAACAGAAAAATGGGGTGGCTTTAGTAGAGACGGAGTTTCACCATGTTGGCCAGATTGGTCTTGAACTCCTGACCTCCAGTGATCTGCCTGCCTCAGCCTCCCAAAGTGCTGGGATTACAGGTGTGAGCCACTGCACCCAGCCACCCTGAGCTATCTTCTTTTTTTGAGACAGAGTCGCTCTGTCACCCAGGCTGGAGTGCAGTGGTGTGATCTTGGCTCACTGCAACCTCCGCCTCCCAGGTTCAAGTGATTCTTCTGCCTCAGCCTCCCGAGTAGCTGGATTACCAGTACTTGCCACCACATCCAGCTAATTTTTGTTTTTTTAGTAGAGATGGGGTTTCACCATATTGGCCAGGCTGGTCTCGAACTCCTGACCTCACGTGATCCGCCCTCCTTGGCCTCCCAAAGTGCT